CAGTCATAAATACACACACATAATTGTATACCGACATACACTTCCACAGGAAAGAAGTTTGCACCTACACCCAAGCATGCATGCATGCGTGCACTCACTCTGTCTCTCTCTCACACACACACATCTATCTCCATGTATCTCAGAACTGTAATTTGTTAAAGCAGATGAGAACCTCACAGAGAGAGGTCACTTTTAGCCTTCTTCACAAAAGCACTGGTTCTGAGACTCAGAACACACCCATTTCTGGGTGACTGGTCACCCTGTAGAAGTCCCCTAAGAGAGGCAGAGGCATAGAGGCCCCAAAGGCTTCTGCTGAGAATAACTAAAATTGAAGTCAGCTTCAAGGGCACCTGATAAAATGAACTTTTCTTTATCCAAATGAAATTGAAGCTAATTCATTTCACAAAAGGCACTTAAAATTATTGAAGAAAGCCATCAAGAGGAAATTACAGGATCTAGAGATTCAAACACTATTTATCTATTCCAAGTCTAATAACATCCTAAGAAGCAAATTAGGGTGGAAACTGATTACCACTGATTAGAAAAGGTGTTTGCACATAATTTAAAGGATCCACAGAGAGCAACTAGCAGACTGGTCTGCAGTATAACTTATTCTATAATAGGAAATTTAAATGTTTTGCTCAGTAGAATATAGATGCTCAAAATTATGAAATTTTAAAGAAAATATTTTTAAAATATTTTTATTGAGTATGGTTTCTACTTAATCATAATTTTATGAAAATGACGATTTATGGATATTTATGCCTTACGAGTATTCAAATCATAGTTTATGAATATGGAATCATATATTTTTAAAATTAGAACTAGTCTTTTATTACTTCTTTTGTTGGTTAATACGTGCTAAACTCAAGACCAAATCCTAGTCAAGAATAGAGGGAAAAAATAATACCTTAAAATATAGAGGTGTATTGAAATTCAGTAAGTTTTGCATCTAGAAACAGTTGGGTCCATCTGATGCTTCTTCCTAAACCATGAGCTTGTATTATGTAAATAGCTTCTCTTATAGAACAGCTCTCGTGATTGTTAAAGATGGAATACTCTATAATCAAATGTTTTAGCATCATCTGCTTCTTCAGTGTACTCATCCAGTATCATTGGTTTGTAGAAAAATATTGAATTATGCATAAGAGAAAACGCTTACATAATCCCAAACAGAGCAGATCTTGAGTAATTTGAGTATACAGGAATACTGAATTTTTCAGCCAAGTGGTTCTCAGGCTTCTGCAGTAATATTCTGATTCTGTAAAGATTTGTTTAAAAAAAGCGTCTGCTGGTAGTGAGCCAATATCGCAGTCCCTTCCACTGCCACTCACCAGTAGTCGGTCGTTCTCCCCATCAAGGTCTCCCCAAAGAAGACCAAACCCAGTGCCCCAGGCTAGCCATCAGCTATGTGATGACGACACCACACTCTCTTGCCCTCGAAAGGAGCTGTCTCCACTGCTGCCATTCATCTACGTGTTCTTCTAAATAATTCATCTTCAACGTCCCTGTAAAAGGGTGCTACCTACAAGTAAACCTATCCTAGGTGTGGTTTCTTTATAGCAGGAACAGGACAATCTTCTCGATTCTGATGATTTCTCCTTTATTGTTCAGTGTCTACTTCCTGTTCACAGCGAAAGTTACGCCTGACACTAAAGGTTCTAATATCTGGGTTGACAGCTGTGGGCACAGGAAGAGTAATTAACAAGCTTTCCAGCGTTCCACCACAAAGAGTCACTGGCCGTGGACGCAAATCACGCCTTCAAACCTGACTAGCTTTGCGACAAATTTACTTAATCATCCCAAACTTCTATTTTTCACCTTTACAAACCACAAACAAAACAATGCTAACGTAACAGTACTGGGTGGAATACATAGGTAGTTATGTAAAGTGTCTGGCACAGAATCTGGAAAATTGTAGGTACTTGATAAATATGACTTCTCCCTTTTCTCCATCAAATAATGTAGATTACTTCCAGGAGCCCCAGTCACTTCTTATTTACTTCTGACAAATGATTTTTTTAAGTACTAATTATGAAATGAACTAATTATGTTGTAGCCTTGGGAAGTTTGAGAGTAGGTCATTAAAGTTCTAATTGTGGTGCAACTTTTTTCAGATGGAGGTCTGGTAATAAATCCCCCAGAAACCTTTATATAATGTAGCTTTTTAGTTTGAAGCTAAGGAACAGAATGAGAAAACTAGAGCTTTTCATCTTCAAAAGAGTTTATGAGCTTTAAGTAAATTAGTAGGCACGGTTCTTTTCTGTGCACCAGGCCAGGGCGATTAGCCCTGTTGGCAGAGGAAGAAATGAGTGCTCAGAGGGGTAAATTGCTTCCCCCAAGATGCTCTGGGCAAGGTGTGAATGTGAGGGCTTGTCCCTGTGCACATGCAGTTAGGTGTCCGCGAGTGTTGGTGGTAGAGGTGCGTATGGATTGGAAGGAATAGTAAAGATTCTGAATGAAGACGGATGCAAAGGCTTACGACTAGTACAGTTTTTACAAGTTTAGTAGGATCTCTTGTCTAGAATGATTAGGGACAAGGGACTTCTGCTGGTGTTCTAAAAATGTGCATGGGCGTTTGTGCTATAAGATATGGGTACATAGGCAGGTAGCTTACAGTGAGCTGTATGGAGTATGTACCATGTATAACCAGCCCTACTGATCAGCTACCTGTTGATTTACATCCATACCCCGCCCTTTTGTCCTCTTTTCTCTCAAAACCACATTTCCCAGGCTGTCTTGACCAACAGCTTCTGAGTGAAGTTGGCCAAGAGGAAGCACTAAATTGGAAGGCAGGACTCTGTTTCTCTCTTTCTATCTGCTTTCTGTTTTCTCTGTTTCTTAGTTTATTTCCAGCAGCAGCTAGATTCATTTAGGTTTCTAGCTTCCGTGTGATAGACCAACTGGATTTATCCCAGTTTCCTGGACTCAGATTGATCCCTTTGTCCCTCCAGCTCGGAGGGGAGAGTGATTTCAGGCTGTTGCCAGTTCCTTATGTGACCTTATTGTCCTTTATTTAGTTTCTTACCCTTTCTTCATTTGGTCAGTCAGTTGTCTAAATTTTATTTCCTCATTTCAAATATGTAAAGAGGTTTCTGTTTTCAGATATACCAACTCTTTCTTTTCTCAATATATTTAATTTTGATTAAACATGTGAAGTGAGAGGGTAAAATGTGATAACATATTTATTGAGTCTAAAGCCATATTAAATATCATGGTATTTTTTCTTTTAGGCTTTTTCAAATTAATTAAATTATACCATTTCTGTAACTGTGGGCAAATCATTAAACTCTTAGTTCACTTTTATCTTTATCTGCACAGTAAGTATAAAATGATAGGCCCTGCCTTCCTTGAAAGATAGTTAATGAAATGGAGCACTTTAAATGTATATATAACACTAGTTGAACCGTCAAACAGTACAGGGTAGAGCAATAAACATCTTTAATGTTGGTTTAACTTGAAGTCCAGTTCCAAGTTCTAACACATGCTTTCCATGTGTCCTGGGACATAGAAGTTAATTTCTCTGAAACCTCAATCTTCCCATCTATAAAACAGTGTTAACCCCATCTCCTTTTTTGTCAGTTTCATGAAGATTACTTTGTCTAACCTTTGTAAATCTCCCAGCACCCTGCTTTGAGTAGAGAACGTCTTCAGGGAGCCTAGATTGCTCATCTATTACACTCGGAGATGGAGGTGCACTTTCTGAGAGCCCTTTCTCCTTGATTTATTCCTAAGTAAAATACATACAGGAATATCAAATATATCACCTATGAGAACTGAATCTCTCTTTCTTTCTTTCTTCTTTTTTTTTTAGAAAATAATCATCATATTTATTGATTTCAAGTCACTACTGACCTACTGAGTTTCTGTTTCAATTTACCAAAGACTCCAGTTAAATAATATTCCTTTGGGCTCTATTTTGAATGTGCTGTCCATGGAGAGTTACTTAATTTTTGCCAACTCACCTGGACCAGGTTGCATTTTCCTTTGTTTTAATGAAAGGTCAAGAATCTTAACTTGCCTCACCCTTAGAAGGAATACTCCTTCACATGCCTTCTCTAGCCGACCCATCCTTACCCATGCTTTTGTGTGATTTCCCTAGTTTCCATACGACATTCAGGTTTAGAACATGTTTCGCTGTCCGATCTTGTCCAAGCTAGTGACATGCGGGTAAGGTACAGATATTTCCTGTATACTCCCTGCCCCACACATGCATAGCCTCCTCCACTGACAACGTCTGCCACCAGAGGGGTACGTTGATGAACCTACATTGATGCATCATAATCATACAGAGTCCATAGTTGACATTAGGGTTCACTCTTGGTGTTGCTCATTCTATGGGTTTGGACAAATGTATAATGACGTATGTCCATCATTATGGTATCATGCAGAGTATTTTCACTGCCCTAAAAATCCTTTGTGCTCTGTGTGCCTGATCTCTTACTACCCTTGATCCCTGGCAACTACCAATCTCTTTACAGTCTGTAAAGTTTTTGCCTTTTCCACAGTGTTATATAGTTAGAATCATACAATATGTAGCCTTTTCAGATTGAATTATTTCACTTAGTAATATGAATTTAAGGTTCCTCTGTGTGTTTTCATGGCTTAATAGTTCATTTCTCTTTTAGCATGAAATAATACATCATTGTCTGGATGTACCACAGTTTATATATCTATTCACCTACCAGAGGACATCTTGGTTACTTCCAAGTTGTGGCAATTATGACTAAAGCTGCTATAAACATCTGTGTGCAGGTCGTTGGGTGGGCATAAGTTTTCAGCTCCTTTGGGTAAACACCAAGGAATGTGATTGCTGGATCACATGGTAAGAATTTGTTTAGTTTGTAAGAAACTGCCAAACTATCTCCCAAAGTGGCTGCACCATTTTTGCGTTCCCACCAGTGATGAATGAGAGTTCCTGTTGCTCCACATCCTCTTCAGCATTTGGTGTTGTCAGTGTTCTGGATTTCCGTCATTCTAACAGGTGTGTAATGGTGTCTCACTGTGGCTTTAATTTGCATTTCTCTGATGATATACAGTGTGGAGCATCTTTTCATATGATTAACTGCCATCTGTATATCTTCTTTGGTGAACTGTCTGTTAAGATCTATGACCTGTTGTTTCTGTTTTAAATTGGGTTGTTTATTTTCTTATTATTGAATATTAAGAGTTCTTTGTGTGATTTGGATAACACTCATTTATCAGATGTGTCTTTCTACAAATATTTCTCCCAGTCTGTGGCTTGCCTTCTCATCCCTTCACATTGTCTTTCATGTTATATCTTGTTTGTTTCTGAGATATACGACAGTATCGGGGAATTCTTATTACTGAAAATCAAATGAAGATGTGATATTATTAACTGAGTCACAGAGTCAAGGAAGCAAAAAACCTGAGTCATTTTTAAAATTAAATGATTTGTGGTACTTAAACTTCTTTATCATCTAAATGTGTACATTTTAATAAGTGAAAAACATTAATGTGCTTACAATGAAAAGCCACAACCTTTGTCTTGCCCTTCTGAACCGGTGCTCTACCTCCCATTTCCCCAACACATATCCCCTCCCCAAACACACAGACATGCTTACTGAACCATTTTCGTTGGGCATTTTCGTGGTTGTTAACTTCGTATCTCTAAATAACACGTGGAGCCTCTGTTTTTTGATTTATCTACTTTAGTTATGGTGCATTGTGCATAACTTTCTATAATGACAGGGATTTCAGTCACTTACACAACACCCCACCTCTGCTCTCTCCCCTCACCTGGTTCTATCACTACTTTCAGCTTTCAAAGTTGGGACTTAATGACACATTTCAGTAAGTAGGATAGTATGGTTTAAAAATGGGGCTTTTTGTGCAAAATTGAGATTGATCTAGCCATATATTTCCCCGGTTTCCTCCTAACAGATTTTCCAATTTACGGTAATGATTACATCTGACTGAGCATCCGCTTAAACTTACAAGCCTGTGCCATTTATTTTTTCAAGGCAAGGCCTCACTTTCGTCGCAGTCTGAGTTGCAGGAGGCTTTTAATATGAAATCACTTTCCATTCAGCCCAAAGCTTCCTTGTTGCTGATGAATGTCATGCATAATGAAAGATTATATCCATTTATCCTCAGCAGTAAATCATTTATCACACAAGGGAGATATATTATTGTGAATTCTGATCAAAGCTGCCCACTTCCTTCAGCCGGCAGAAATGCTGCACCCTGTTAGTGGATTGTACAATATCCTGGAAGAAACAGAGAAAATTAGGCTGTTGAGTGAGAGTTCAGCAAACTCTAGGGGTTTCTAAAATGGCTTTTAAAAAATCATGTTTCATGTAGAATTTTCTATGATCCAGGCATGTGAACTGTCTTTTTTTTTTTTTTTTTTTTTTTTTGCTCTCTTCACTTAATTAAATCTGAAAGCTATGGGACTTTTTGCAGCCTGCTCTGTGATGTCTGCAAACGGATTTGTGAATGACATTGTGTGGGTATTTTGCCCCCTTTCTTAGAGAGGCAATAATTATTACCACTTCTTTTTGAAGCATGCTGTGAGTGGTTTTATCAGTTCCTTTGCTAATGAGCTCCCTTTCTCCTTTATAATGCCAATCATAAAGATGCCTTTAAACTAAGATTTATCTCTCAGATTTCTTTTCTTTTCTCTCTTCCTCATCAAGCTGTGTACCACTTTGCTTCAGGGAATCTCCCACACCACCTGAGCAAGCCACACGGCTGACCTCTTTGATCCCTTTTCGATATCATAGTCTCTCACCGTCTTTTTCTGAGAGCAGTGAATTTCAGAAAGGACACCACAGTCCTCCAGAGGAGTCTCTTCTTATGTTTTGTCTTTGATTTTAGCTTATCGTTGCTCTACGTTGCACATCTGCGTTTCCTGCTTTTCAAATTCAACAGCATATGAGTTGCCTAATGAAGGAGGAAGTCTGGGCTCTCTTTCTTCCTTTGGTCTTGCTTGGGCTGCTGGCCAGGATGCTCTTACAGTTTATTCAGAATTCATGCAAAGTCGTAGCTAGAGATCCGCAAAATCAAGTCACAAATCTGCACCTAATGTTTATAAACAACATTACTTCATTTGATCGTCCCCACATTCTGGAAGTAGCCTTTCAGTGTTCTGTCCATTGAAGAGCTGGCTATTGAATTCATATTCTCCTCCTCTGGACTCTGTGAGCTCATTATACCCCTTGTATAGTTGACAGAAATAAATATAATGTGCCCAGGCTCTTTATCCTTAAAACAAGGGATGGCTAAATTTAACAGAACAGGAGAGCGTGATGGCAAAGATATTATATATTACCTTTAATCTAGGTGTACCTGAGGATGGTTCGTACTTCTCTGACTGTTCGGATGCTTTTACTCTCATAGAAACACGATTGCCAGATCTAGAGAATGAAATACAGGGCATCCAGTTAAATTGAAATGTCAGGTAAATAATTTATACATTTTAGTATAAGTATGTCCCAGATATTACATGTGGGACACACTGATGCAAAAAAAAAATGTTGTTTATTTGAAATTCAGATACCACTGGGTGTTCTGTATTTTATCTGGAAACTCTAAACACAGGAGAATCCAAATTCAGGTCTTCGCTATTCTATAGACATAAATTACCCAGCTGGGTAACCATTGTGGACTGAATTGTGTCTCTGGAGAACTCGTGAGTTCATGCATTAACCTCCAGTGTGACTGCATCTGGAGATAGGGTCTTCAGGAGGTAATTGAGGTTACATGTGACCATATGGGTGGGTCCCATTCTGATAGGATTGGGGAATCCAGATCAGTCTCTCTCTCTCTCCACTATGTGAGGTAACAGCGAGAAGGCAGCCATCTGCCCAAGGGAGCCCTCAGCAGACACAGACCTTGCTGACACCTTGATCTTGAATCTCTATGCTTCAGAACTGTGAGAAAATGCTTTTCTGTGGTTTAAGCCACCCCGTCTATTATACTTCATTATGGCCGCCCAAGCCACCTCATTGGGTAGGTTAAGAATGTTTTATTCTGGCTCAGGTGTGTATTTCTTGCTAGATTCTGAGCTGATGAGGGTGGTCGTTACTTTTCTTCCATCGAGCAGTCTCGATGTGAGTTCATGACTCTTCTAATTCTAAGCAAGCAGAGAGAGAGAAGTGAAGTAATCTGCTAATGGTTGAACGTTAAAGCATCAGAGAAAGTCTGTGATTGGCTAAATTTCTCAACCTTGGTGCCATCTTAAGTGAAACTAAGAAAGAGGAATCATAGGGAGTAGATGTGACAGTAAATCCTGGGCCATTGTTGGCTGGGAAATTATCAAAGACAGTCATGGGAACTTCCAATTAACTATGGAAGTAGGGGCAGAGAGCATGACTCTCCTGTGACTTTAATGTTAGAACCTAAATTGTCTGCCTAAAATCTCCATATTTATTTGGAACGGGGCAGTGTGTGCCTGTGTCCATGTGTCTGTGTGTGTGCACAGCACACTTTAAATCAGGACTTGGTGATCCCACTTAAGACATGAGCAACGGACACCTCAGAGTGGTTAGTCACAGACTTCTGTCACACTTCTAAGTGGCAGAATTATGGGGTCATCCTCCATCCATAGGACGTGCTTTTTCCGCCATAACCAGCTGCCTCCCTTGAAAACTAGAATGTCACATTTGTCATGATAGATTTTGTGTATACTAGGAAATTAATAACAGAGCATTTCTCCATTTGAATGGATGAAGCAAAATCCCATCTATCCTCCACTTGTCATTGTTCCCCCCTAACCTTTTTGTTCTTTATAAAGGCAATTATTATTTTACTACCTCTAAGGTGATACTGAATTTGGGAAGTCTTCCCTCAAGAGGCCCAATAGATTACTTCTTAATTTACCTTCTTAGCCTAAAAAGAGATTCTTCTTTTTTTTTCCTTTTAGATGCAATAAAAATCAAAGCTAAATTAGATAAAATGGCTTTTTCTGCCCATCTTGCTGCTCTGGATAATACTGCTATTTACTCCAAGCTGTGTAGTACCTTCACGCCATGTGACGTGTTTTAATTTTGTTAATGAGGTAGTAAGGCTGAAGTGACGCTCTTGACCAAATAGGGGCAGAAATTTCTATAAAGGCCAAAACATTTATTCAAACTGACATGAGAACTCCTTAGCCAAAAAGTAAATGTACAATAGATGGGAATAAAATGGTGACATAAATAGATCCTTGTCTCCCTGTTACTAAAATTGCCCAATAAAGTGTATGAGTGAGTGCCAGACACAGGTCCCTAGTATTCTGCCCGTGGTTGAGAAGAACTTACATCTGAGTAAACACACACTTGTTACTTCTTTTTAAACATCTCAGACTTGAAATCATTCTTTCCCTTTTTGTATTTAGGGCTCAAATATTAACAGAATGCGGCATGCCTCCTGAATCTGGACAGATGCTTTCAAATTCACTTCTGAAATCATACCAGTCTCATGATGAAGTAACTGGCCTCCATCTACTTTTGAATTCGAACTTTGCTAAAGAGAGATTGAAAAAAAAAAAACTTAACGTTTTCTGAAAATTACAGATATAACTTCATTAGGGAGAATAATCATAGTTGTAAGATGAGTGACATTATAAGGAACAGTTGCCTCAGCCATGGAATTTGTGATATATTTGAAAGCTATTGATAACACACTGGAGAACCTTCGTGAGTTTAAAGGCAGCTGTTACTACACAACTTAAAGTAATCCAGTCGGGAAGAGGGTATAGCTCAGTGGTAGAGCGAGCGCTTAACATGCACAAGGTCCTGGGTTCAATCCCCAGGACCTCCGTCAAAACAAATAAATAAATAAACCTAACTACCTCCTTCCACCCAAGAAAAAAATTAAATAGTAATCCAATTCCAAATTCTTCCTTTTATGGTCAAAGGATTTTAGAAAGATTGAACCTATAGCCAGGCTATGGGTACATTTAATGCCAATTGGTTAACTTAAAGATCTTGCTGTCTTAATTAGTGCTCCTTTTAAATAAGGCCACTTAATTAAATTCTATATTCAGCTAAAGAAAGCTAACAATTTAATCACTGTCACATATTCTCCCTACCAGAACCTGGATCTCAGTTTCAGCAGTGAGTGGTAGGGAAGGGAATTTGTTCTAACATCATTGACAGTTTTTAAGACAATAACACTAAGCTGCAGAGGCTTAGAGAAGTTTCTGGCCCATCCAGCACACATTTGCTTTCAGATAGAGACATGGTTTGGGATTCTGGTTCCAGTACTGCCCATCTCTTCAATGAGGGGCAAGTTACTCACCTTGCTGAAACTGTATCCTCTGTGTTTTTGTTTGTTTTGCTTCGATTTTTTTTTTCCCACTGAGGACGATCTGGAATCAAGAAATGTCATTATCGTTCTTTAATTGTGCTCCTAAAGGACCTTCCAATCCTTATTCATAGTTGGTGATTACCTTTTAAATTAACGGAAAGCTCAGGAAGTTTGCCTTTAAATCAGTGACCAGTCTCGGTGACGTGATTTGCTTAAGAACATTTTGAGATTGGATGATAACTTATAAATCTAGGTCTTTAATTCTTACTCTGAATCATGGCTTCAGTTCATGATATTTGGACCATAGTTTTAAATACTCATCTTGGGGAGGGTACTTGGGTGAATGGTGATTGAAGTCTGTACTGAATTTCCATGAAGAATGTCAGAAAAATTCCAGAAGAATTCCAGAAGAATGCCATGGATCAAGCAAGGACTTGATCTTGATGCAGATCAAGCAAGTCAACCCCAGCTGAGTTCGTAGCTAATTCAAATACTTAACTGGCTGTGTAATTTTGGAATAAGATCCTTAACCTTTCTGAACCACCATTTCTTCACTTGAAAAGCGGGGATGAGGATTCCAAAGTCAAAGAATATTAAAAAAAAAAAAACAACTAACATTTATTGAGTGCTTACCATGAACAATAGGTTTTATACCATTTTTTTCCTAATAATAACTCTCAGGGGGAGCTACTATTATTATCTCCATCTTACAGATGAAGGAAAGAAAGCAGAGGAAGGCTATGCTGCTGGTACAAACCTACCTGGGATTTAAAACTAGGCTGTGCTCCAAACCACCCTGCTTCTAAAACGTAGTTAAGTGCCTGATGATTTTCCCATTTTCCCCAACCAAGGACTGACACCGAGGCTGAGGAGAATTGGCAGGAGATAAAGACGGATACCTGGCAGGGTTGTTCTTTGATCAAATCACCCTTTAATAGGCCCCTTAAAAATTGGCAGACTTGTGTATCACTGACAAAGTGTCTCCTTTCCTGTAACATCAAAGACTCATTGCCATTTTTTGTCTATGAATAAAAGTTGACACAGTCAGGAAACAAACCATACAGAGTTGCCACCATTTCTCTTGTGAAGTTAATTGACTTCTGCTACTTTAAATTTGATGTCTAAAGTCTAGTTCCAAGAAGGAAGCATGTATGCTTTCTCTAAAATGTATGCAGAGACCAGACCCTACACAGGGACTGAAGCAAACATTTAAACATTCTTCTATCCTTTCATACATTTCTCTCCATCAATTATGTAAAGTACATCTCTGCAAACATGCTAGGTAGAGGGTCCTGTGGCACAAAAATGGCCAACATGCATGGATATAATATCAACCATCCATGCTTGCTTGTTTTTTTTTTTCTCCTTCCCAGTACCATTTCCATTTTATTTGGGTTGAAACTGGGGAACAGGGATGTTAAAAGCCTTGCCAAAAGTACACCCGTGCGGACACAAGAGGAGAAGGAGGTTATATACTCAGCACAGTTAATCATGATGATATAGACGTGGAAGACATGTGGTAAGACACCAGGTGTCAGGTGGGCCATCCATGTGGATAATGGAGATGGTGACAATGAAGACAGAGTAGGAATGGAGAAGAGGGACGTGAAGCAATGATCGCACCTTCCATTAATGAGTCAGTGACCTGGGAATCAACGGATGACAACTAAGAGGATGGGTAGTACAGGCTCCTCCAGTGGGATGGTTTTTGATTGTTCCAGAAGAACAATGTTCCGTGGTCCTCAAAACCAAGTATGCTCTCCACTAGGTGATCTAATTTCTCCTCCTCCAAGCTTCAGCTTCTATCTCTTCAAATGCAACTCCCAAATGTCTAACTCTGGCTCTAATTTTTCTTCTGTCTTCCAGAACTATGTTGCCAACTTTAGTCTGTTGTGCGTTTTTTTAGTTTGCTTTGTTTTGCTTTGCTGTGCTCTCCTAGCAGGGGGAAGAGGGGGAATTGGAGGAACAATCTGGGAACGTAGGGAGGCTGTTGGTCAGAAGTGAGTGTTCTTCCGTTTTTCACTCTAAGTCATTAATATGATTACCTCTAATTTAGTTGCTATTTATTCAGAAAATGAGCTCAAAGAAATAAACTGGCATATGAGTATTTGTAAGAGAGGAAATGAGTGGTCTGAAGTTAGTGGTGTGGGCTAGCGGCCACGGCAGTCACTCTTAGCTGGCCAAAGCACGCGTGTTTCCATGGAAACATCAGCAAAGGAGCCCACCGTTTAAAAAGTTTCTTCCTTGGGGTCCTCCCCATCCAGGCTGAGTGCTAGGTTCACTCCTTATGCTTCAACACACTAGACAAATCCAGTATTAGCTTTGAGCCGACAATCATGCATTTTGTGTTTTCTCATCTTTGCCAAAATTCTCTTTTGCCCAAGGATTGCCTTTTAAAACTTTCACTAAATTGGGGCTTTTCTTCAAGGATAGTATTGAAGGGGAAGAAAATGAATGGAAGGGATGCCTTGTTATTTTAGGTGCAGCTGAACAAGGGAGGGGGGTGGTGAAGGCCAAGGTGGAAGGTCGTAAGGAGGAGAGGGAGGGAGGGAGGTCTGCAGTTGAAACTGTACAGCTGGCCCTGGCCCTGCAGAAAGGGAGTGACCCGGGTTGTGATTTGGCCCTGAGCCTCACCAGAAGAGAGACACTTGCCTGACACTTCACCTGGGCTCAGCGTCTCCAGTTCCTCTGCTCCCCTCTTCACTGCCAGGGTCCCACCTCCGTTACTCAGGGTTGCCCGCCACAGTCCTCGCCTCGGCCCCCTCCTGCCCTGCCCTGCTTCGGGCATTGTCTCCTCAACTCCTCCTTCCCCACCGCCTTTCACATTTGGAAACAAAGCAAACAACATGATTAAGAATTTACCGATTTCTGAAGTGACAACGCCTTCCCCTCGGAGTAGATGAATACAGAGAATTGAAGACTAATTTTTTTTTTCAAAATAAAATTTCTTAGCTCTTGCAGACTGAGTTTGCTTTGTGCTTGCCCTACTGCTGATAACCCTTCTCCTATTTTTGTTTTTTTTTTTAATACAACTTCACTCACCTTGGTTGTATTTCCAATTCTAAGCCTGCTCCCTGCTCTTTGACCCCCTAGTTGAAGAATCAAAACTTACCTATAAAACCACCAGGGAGGGACCGATGACATTTTTAATAAAACTGCTGTGATGTACGGCTTCTCGGTAATAAAGAAACTGAGACAAGACAGTGGACGAATTCAGAGGAGCTCTGAAAGCAATAAAGAGTAGAAAAAGAATGGAATATTAACCTGTTCAAGGCAGGATTTATGCTTTTTTTTAACCCATGGACATACCATTAAAGACTACACATGTACTTCTAAAGTTTTATTAATTCTGTCATGCTTTATTAAAGTGAACAAACAGAACTATTATATGAATTCTCTTTTTCTTGTATCTGTATCTTTCAAAAATGAGCTCAAAGAGAATTTGTTTAAGCAGCCACATATGTTCATAACTTTTTTTCAAATTTTGAAATCTTAAATTCTGAATTTTAAATCTTTAAAATTTTAAAATCTTAAAAAACCAAGCAAAAGCAGTCTCAAAATGCCCCCCAAACTAACCAAAACCAAAACAAACATGCAGTGATATTTCCCAAAAGATGCGCGGCTTATCCCACTGTCAGAAAGTCTGCCAAACTCCATCCAGCCCATAGAAGTGCATGCTGGGACTTTTTTTTCTTTACTGTCTTTAGCAGCGTCATGAAGTCAACCCATCTCATTGGCTTTACCTGCTGGCCACATTCTGTCTTCACATTTGGGTGGGTTTGAACTTACTGAGGTGACGTGTGTGGTTTTTTAAACGGAAATTTTAATGTGCCATTCTTAAAACCCAGCGTCAATTAGCAGAGACACCGCCACCTGAACCGAGGAGCGGGTCGTGCTGCCCATTCCGTCACGTAGCCCTGGGCGGGTTTCCTCGCTGGAAATGGGGAATCCTTCTCCAACATCATCACACTTTATTATCTGCAGCACACAGGTACGAAGGCAGAATGGAGGCACTTGCTGTGCAATTTTCCTGGTACCCCAGGAGGCCTGAACACTTCAGAGTGGGCTCCAAGTCACGGAAAATCAGTTTAAGACTAGAGACATTTCAGACATCTCTCCTTCTTTTCTTTTCCACACACAAACGGAATAATGCATTTAAGTGATGAAAACCCCTCAGAAAGCGAAACAAAATTAAAAAAACAAAACAAAAACACTTCCCTTTCAAAGCAGTTATCTCCCTTGGATACCATCTTCATATTAAATGAAGATACAAAGAGTGATGTGTGCTTAAAATCTCCCCCACAGGTTGGAAAATAAAAGCCTCAGAGGTGAACGTGTGCCATAGCACACACCCAGCTCCCAACATCGTTACGGGAGAATGAAAACTAACAAAACACTGTGGTTCAGGTTGTTCTGAATGAAGGCAAGCTAACAACATTAGGACAGCTTTCAGAGAACAAGGATTTATTGCTTCATCACAAGTGCGCTTCCGTCTTAAGCACTGTCTGACTTTGTACCATTATGGAACCGGTGACATGCCTGCTTTATTTCAAGTGCGATAAATGAATTTAAAAAAAAAATTATGAAAATATGTGGCTGCTTAAACAAATTCTCTCAACAGCCTGTTGGGTATTTGGGGTGCCCATATATCAGAAGTCATTCTTCTCAGTCTATGAGGAAAATTGCCAGATATGCTCCAGAGTGCCAGGCTTAAAAGGTGCTAACGAGAGCCTGCCCTATTACCTGAATTCCAATTTGGCTCACAATGAAAGGGAGAGAAATTACCTGGGTGCCTTTCATTGTTGCAATAGACCTTATCTAAGAGTTTATTATCCTCAGAAAACAAAGCATGCTCTAAGGAAAGACGCCACAGCTCCCATCTCCGACAGAATGGTCTTTTTGAATTCCTTTGTCGATTTCATAGATTTCTAACAACTAGCGGATTGTTTTTTTTTGTTTTTAAATCTGATTTTTATGCCAGCAGCACAATTTCCTCCTCGGTAAGTAGGACAGATTCATCCCACAAGCAACAATAGATGCTTCCCTGCTTAGCTCGAGCGTGACAGATTAAGCTTCCAGCAGACACACTAAATGCCACCACCACCCCTTACAGAGGCTGTTCCCAGGCAAGCGTGTGGGGCCTCAGCTGTAGGTGTCCCTTGAACTCCCAGCTGATGAGCTGATGCTGTCCGAGGCGGCCAAGCTGCCCTGACTGAGAGAGCTGGGCGAAGACCGCGGACTGGGTCTCATTGCAGGGGCTTCCAGGCAAATTCCCCGCCTCCCAATTGTGCCGGCCCCAGGAAAGTTGCCTTGTACAACGCCTCGCAGAAAGGCCTGCGCTTTGCACCTGTTGGCTGAATAGAAAAGAGAAAAATGGGGAGAGGAAAAAAAAATGTGAATTTAGAGAGAATGCATTGAGACCTTGCACGTAGGGATAGATGCCTTTCAAATCTTGCCAGATCCGAAATAAATGCTGTTACTTCTGGCCCAGCAGCTAAGTTAACAACAACCACAACACCCAGTTAAAGTAGCAAATGAACAAACTAATAAAACGTGAAGGAAATAAACAATAGCCCGAATCTACTGATAATATTTGATCCATTATATTAGAAAACAAGTTTTATTAGAAATATAAGCCTCGCAATATGATGCTTCTGAAAGGGCATTTGCAGCCTTTTAGAGGCCAGTGGGTTGCATAAAGAATAGTCCAGAATTATAATATGAGGGTAACCGTTAATTCAGATTGCTGTGAGGGGCATCTTCAATTGCTATTCAATTTGCTCCTTAGATATTACATATGAAACTGTAAAAGCAAAGTGGTGCTATTTTCTTGCACAGATGCAGACTCTAAAATCGAACTGTCAGTGTTAGACTGAACCAAGAAATGCAGAAGCATGAATGTACTGTTGTCCTGTTGATGTAATTGGTGACTATTTTGTTGCTTGTTGAAGCCTTGAATCTTTCACAACCACATGCGTATGTTTGTCGTTTATCCCCTTTCCTCAGGTGCAAAGAAGGCTACCAAGGAGTCCGTTGTGATCAATTTCTGCCGAAAACTGATTCCATCTTATCGGATCCAAGTAGGTCAAGCATTTTTCTTCTCTCTCTAACGCAGTAGCAAACTCTGAGCCACAGTCGCTGACTCCCTGACAGCTGTATCTCAGTTTTGTGTCTCTGAATGCTGCCAAGGGTGGGAGCTGGGGACAGATGCTCATGTGCAAAGTTTGCTCAGAACCCTGTCTGTGGAGGTCTAGGTCATCTCCAGTGATGGCGCCTGGTGTCCAGATTCATTTCCGCCACTACCTTCCACTGGGAACTCCAGGAAATCCTGCTCCCTTCACTTTTCAGTCTCCCGCCACTACCCCTCCGTTATGAAAGCAAGGATATAGACACGGAAAAGCTTATCGTTTATCCAAAAAGAGCATTATGGAAACTACAGTGTCATTATTGCTTCTTACCCTCTGGTTGGTAATTTGTGAAAATATTAAACTTATTCAACTTTTCCTTACTGAAGTAAGGAAATACGCATATAAAATTACATAAAACGTTTTCAGACAAACTGTGAAAACCGCACATTTAGCAACACTATTCGCGTATCAGCGATTACCGTACCAGTGACAAAATTTTTTTCTGTTCATGGAAGAAGACAATTTGCCATGAGGAAATATTGCCACTCATTAGGTTCTGTCTCTATATGGAAAACAAAGTAATATTCTATACCGGTATGCTCAATTCTGGTCAAACGTGAAATTTTTGCTTTATCTGTAAATAATCCGTTCTTTCAATGATGCTACGATCGAATCGCCACTGAGGAGAGGGGACTTTTATTGAATCAGCAGTTTAGTCCAGTGAAAATAATGGCAGGCATTTCCAAATCAGAAACGCACTGTCACGGTTTTCCGAGTACCAAACATGCAAAATGTAAACCTGAGCAAAATACCATGTATTCATGACAGCCAGAGGTTGCCCTGTCTGTGAGTGTGTGTGTAGCTGCGTAATGAACATGTTGAGCCATCTTTCGACATCTTTTCAAAATGCCTAGTTTTATTTTCCCCCTGAATTTCTAGGTACATTTCTTTAAGTAAATGTGACATTTTTAAAAAAGGAAAATTTGTGTTTGATTTAATTGCTTGTGTTTTAGCTTGGAAAGGCAAACCACCACACAGCATTAACTACTCTTTTCTTGGCAAATTTAGCTCTTCCTCCTTGAGAAAAGCGATGGTTGCCTAAAAACCAGCCGCCAAGCTAGACACGGACGATCTCTGTTCTCTGAAATGTGAGGCACTGGTCACTGGGACTTACCCCTAGAGGGGGCAGTTACTGTAGTGTGTTGTGTCTCTTTTATCTTGTGATTTTGGCCACTGGCTATGCTGGTGTCTAAAATGTGTGGCTGTGGCTATGTGGCTGGTAGATGCAACCGCTGTCCCAGGTTCTTGTCCCGTCCCAGAAAGAATTCAGAGACAAGACGCAGTGGCTAAGAAAAAGTAGTGAGGATTTATTAAAGGATGT